TCTCTAACATGGGTCAGCCTCGAGGACATGATGGAAGTGAAATTATACTTGTTGGAAAGGACAAGTACTAGGGGGATACGGGTCCCCAGAGTCAAATGCAGACACAGAAAGCAGGGTGATGAATGCCAGGGGCTGGGGGAGGGGAGGGAGATCCGAAGTGTTTAATGGATGGCAGTTTCTGTTGGGATGATGAAAAAGTTCCAGGCATGCATTGTGGAGACAAACAATGTTGTGAGATGTGTCAGTCGTATATTTAAAAACCATTAAAGTTGTCCATTTTGTTTTGTACCCCAGTCACTGTACCCCGGCCCTCAACGCAATGTCCTGAGTCCCTAATTTGGGCAGGTCTCCTATACCCTGTGGCCACTGACTTTCCTCCTCCTGACCCCTCTGAGCCACTGCTGCTGGCCTTTAAACTGCATCACAGAGGTATCACGTCTCAGGGAAGGGCCTTTCAGTTTCTTCCCCTTTCAGTAAGAGCGTGCTTAGCTGCCACAGTGAAGAAGACATGGCCGCCGCTTCCCTAATTCTCCTTTCTGTTCTGTTGGGAAAGTTTCCCGGCGACAGGCACATGTAATCAGTTATGCATGGCGACATCTAATGAGATCTGGGGGCTGAGACAGTCAAGGGTTTTGCTGTTGTAAAGGATGTGAGATGTTAATAGGCCACAACCGGCCTGCTGAGGAATTAACATGCCATAGGATCATGACAGAAGTTAGCAGAGTCCCAAACATGGGGACTCCCTCCAAAGAGAGCACTTACCGGATTTGTCTCTCCTTCCCTGAATTCTACTCTGTGGCCCCATTCCTTTTAATCTCCAAACCCTTATGACCCACATCTGCGGTGCTCTGGACTGGGCTATTCTGAAGCCAGCTGTTGCTGGGCCTTTTAGTCAGGGTGAAATTAGGAACAGACTTGAGGGTCGTCTACCTGCTGTGAAGTCACCAAAAACTGCAAATCTTGAGAAAATATAGCTGCCTGGCTTAAACAGTGAGGGCAATTTCCAGGACATTTGTGCCTCAGTTGGGAGTGGGCCTCGTCACTCTGTGATTCAACAGTGTTATTTGTTAATGCTACCCATTGTGGTAGCCCAAAAGATATGCATAGCAAAGATCAGTAAAAGAAAATCTGTGTGACAATAAGAACAGTGTACGGGCCAGCGTGCAGATATTTCGTGTTTATTTTGTGTGTTTTTCTACTCCTGTGAAGAAATCAAGGAAAGATTGTTGAATGATGATTCTGTGAGAATTTTTTTTTTTTTTTTTTAAGATTTCTGCATTGGGGGAGAATGAGCAAAGCTTTCCTGTCATTGCACACAAGGGTACAATTTGTACAGAGTCCTCAGGCTTAGATTCAAAAGAGGGATGAACAAATTTCCACAAGTGTTCGAAAGAACATGAAGATCTCAACTTTGATTGAATCATTGCCCCTGAATTATCTGGTATATAAATGACTATGTAAGAGAAGAGTGCCTTTAGTAAGGAGCCTCTTCGTGTAATCACGGGACTATCCGGGCACAGTTCCCATTAGAGGTGGTTATGTGTATACGTGTGTGCGCGTGTGTGAGAAAAACATCGCTTCTTTTCTATTAGCCTTGCCTTAAATAGAATGAAAATATAAGAGAACTGAGATAGTCTAAACCAAGATGAAAACATCCCATACAATCAGCTTTAGATTCAAGTAGGTGGAAAGCATTTCAGAGAACTGCCTTTAGAACAGAGGCATGGCTTCACCACCCACCCTCCAAGGGGAGACTGCTAACTTCCTACCAGCACACCCAAGCTGAGGCACTATCCCTCTGCTCCTCTGGATTCTCAATGCAGAGAATACTGAGTTCTTTAAACTCCATGGAAAGGAAAGGTTTTTCAAAAGAGCACCAAGTTAGGATTGGGACACCATTTTTGAAATAGCAGCAGATATCCAATTTCCATTTCTATGTAAAACGTTTCTCATTCCCAACAGTTTAACTCTGACCCTCACATGGAACACCTAGGAATACCCATTGATGATGTAAACCAAATTTAGACTGCATTCCCTCTGAATTCCTGTCTTTAGACATTCCCTCTGTACACTTAAGTTAGTTTACAGAGCAGAAGATCGCCCTTGGCCTAGGTAAATAATGTCATTCTCCTTTCTGAGCTATAATTCACACAGTCTTAATAAATTCAAAGAGATAGGATTAATATTTGCATTCATGGTCCCCCCACCCCACAGGGCTCACATTTAGAGCCTGCCTATCTAGTACATCCTGGTAGCTTGCCTCGGATTTCATGCTCTATTGCAGAGAGTTTCACTTCAGGCTTTCAGACAGGCAAGGCCTTTTCTGGGGGAGGGGAGTGGTGCTTTTTGTTTGCTTTTTAACGCTTAGCTCTTCTTTACTGGAACCCCCTAGGAACGTTTCTTATCTAAACATTCCCCAATCACAGAGCACAGCTTCCCCATCAAATCGTTGGAAGTAGCAGAGTTTCAAATGCTGAACCAACCACGGCAGCAGAGGGGAGTTAGGGCTTTCTCCCTCTCCTGTTTCATCAGCCAGAAGGACCAGCCGGTTTAACGTTATAAATATCCAAATGTTAACCATCACCATTGCGGCTGTGCTCAGCTCCAATATTCTAATTGACTTAAAAACCTTTCAGAACAGGAGGAACCCCGAACCCCCAAGGAGTCCCAGGGGTTTGTACTTTGTGTAGAAGGTGTCCTGAATCTTGAATGGCTTTTTTTAAAAAAAAAGATATTTGAAGATATAAAACAGCTGCAATATGGCTGCACCAATAGCACGAGAAGCCGCTCGAATTCATTTTTATACCGTAGCTCTTTGTGTGTAGAGAATCTAGCACTGGTATGTTGACAATAAACAACCTCAGGGGCTTTGGAGCAACTCCTGAAAGACGCATTTCAACTTAGTAACAAACTGGCCGGCCTGCAGGCTGCCTTTTCTAGGTTTGTCACGTGGGCAGGAGAATCTGACTCTTGCCCATCTATCAAATTTCACTCTCAGATTTCGAATGTATTGTCCAGAAGTGTGCAAGAAAAGCATTTGAAAGCACACTATTATTGTAGACAGAGGAAGCCCTGAGTGAAATCACATGGGAGTGGCTAAAGGAAGCTCTCTAAACTGACTGGAGAAAGGAGGCACGTCATGTAAACTGTAGAATTTTATGTAGAGGAAGGGTTTTTTTTTCCTTTACTGTCTACTACTCTAACTTGTCAATTTTTCAACACATGGAAATTATTAATGCAACCTGTAGTCGGAAACTAGAGCAAAAGGGGCAGATAGATGCCTCCTGCATGTCGTGGACTTAACTACGGACCAGTATCGATTTAAAAATACGACCCCCCCCAGAAAAAAACTCAATTAAAATTTGTGCCACGTATATTTAAATCTGTGTTGGAGATTGTGTACACACATGTAACATCTACCCATGCTATTTATACTCATGTCATTAGCTGAGTTGGGTGAAGCTTTTCTTGTGAATTTTCACTGGGTATTGTAATGAATTGTGGGCACTTCAATAGTTTTTTTGTGAATCAGACTTAAATGTGATTGTTCAAGAATACATCCCACTTAAGCATTCAGGCTGAAACTAGCAACAATTGGCCGTGACCTTTAACATGCCTGCTTTCCAAATTAGTGCCGACCATTAATCACACGGGGCTTACATTTTATGATTCGCGGGCCGTTCCTCGCGGGCCTCCTCCCTCCGCGCCCGCTCCTCGGCGGAAACACACGCATGCACACGGAAACATCTCACTCTCAGCCAGGCCCCCGCCCGATTGCCAGCTCTGCCAGGGTACAAGCGCCGCCCTTTGCAGCTCGTCCGCACAGGAGTTTCTATTGCAAAACCAGTGGCCAGGGAGGGCCCCCGAGCTGCACTGGCAGCGAGGGCTAGGCACCGGGAAAAGCCACCGCGAAAGGTAACCGCCCGGATCTCGGACGCCGATTGTAAGGCAGAGCCAACTCGGGCGTCTTGGCCCGAATGCTTCTCCACTGCGGAGTTATCACGCGCAGCAGCGGAACAATATGGCCAAGAGCCTGGTGGGAGAAGATAGTGCCCCTCCGCAGGCCACAGCTCCCCTGGCCTACGTCACCGCGGATCGCGGGGCGCGCTCCCCGGCCCCTCCTCCTCTCTCCTCCTTCTGCTCCTCCAGATCCCCTCCCCCCCTCCCGCAGCCCCTCCCTGCCAAGTACCAAGAAAGCTTTAGAGGAGTCAAATCAAGGTTTTGATTCACAGACTCAATATATTGTCACGAATTACGACCCACCAAAAGTAGTAAGGTGTGTGTGGGGGGGCACAAATGAAGTTTTCAGAACCAAAGCAAAATGAGTTGAACTTTGCAGGCACGAGTAAACAGCCCCACGGTGACAAACGAGTCGAAGCTCCACTCAGCCCCGGAGCTGTCGTGTTCTTCCCGCGGCATGCGGACTCCTAGACTCGCTCCCGTGAAGTTCAGGACACGCGGGCAGGGTGGACACCGTTTAGTCTGGGCTCCAGGCTCAGCGTCCAGGTGCTTGAGAAGGCTGGACATACATCCCAGGCACGTTTGTGTGTGTGTGTGTGTGTGTGTGTGTGTGTGTGTGTGTGTGTGTGTGTGTGTGGTGCGCGCGCGCGCGCGTAAACAGTCTCTAGGAACTGGAGCTGCGGCAACCTGAGACCTGAAGCTGAGGGGCGACCACTAGCCGCGGACGTCGTGATTCAGTGCTATTAGGGGAGGAATTATCTGGGTCTGAGTCATCGTGAGCCTCCAGACTTTCTCCGCAGTGTGGCAGAACTTTGTGCTGATGAGACAATAGTGGAGCGTGTGCGTTTCCTTCAGGGCAGACCATTCCCGGGCTGGGGGAAGCCTCAGGCCTGCTCCGGCCGTGGACGCCGGGTCCCCGTCTTTGCTCGGTGCAGTCCCTCCGAGCCCTGCCGGCGCCTGGGCCCCCGCGGGGCGGGTGCGTCCCGGGCGCGCGCGCGGCGCGCGGAGGGGGGCCGGGCGCGTGGCGGGTCCCGCGCGCCCTCGCGCGTCCCCCGCGCCCGGGCGCAGCTGGCGCGGTCGGTCTAGAGCAGCGCTCGGCTCGGCGCCGCGGGCGCTCTGCTTCACCTTCAGATGCGCGGGGCGTGCGCGTCCTCCTCCCGGGGCCCGCCGCCTCTCCTCCAAGGTAGGGGCCGTGGGGCGGGGGCGCTTCCTGGCCCGTGGGAGGGCGGATCGACAGGCAGGGCCGGGAGGGTCGGGACCCACAATGTGCCCAAGACCCTGCTGTGCCCCGTGGGGTGGGGGCGTGCTGGGCAGGGGGCGCGCCCTGTAGAAGGTCCCTGGCGCCAGGAGGGCGACTTGGCTTTTCTGTGTTGGTAGTTACTCCGCTCTGCAATTCCAGGAGAGGAGAAGATGCAACTTCGGGTGGCGGGGCGAGCGCCCGGGAGGTGGCTTTTACCGCAGTGGAGGGGCGGGGTGGGGGCCGGGGTGGGAGCGCGGAAGAGGCTCTGGCTTTGTACACTTCGTCAAAGGCGACGCGGGAGGAGGGGAGCTCGGATGCGCTCTCATCCATTAGGAGACAAAGAGCAAATTGCCTTACTTTAAAGTAAAACGCTCTGGCTAATGAAGGTGGGTGATGGGCGGCGGGGCCGGAGGAGCCGCTTCAATTATTAAGGGTTTGGCGGAGGGGATCGATGCCTGTGGGCACAGAGCGCTGCTGCCTAGGGGACTTGTTTGCGTATTTGTGTTCGGTGGTGGTGGTGGGGGGTGTTCTCACTGTCCCCTCCCCGGGCTTCTGCGGGTCAGCGGGGAGATTGGAGTGACCCTAACACTAAAAAAGTGGGATCTCTAGAAAGGGAAGTTCGCGTAGGGGTGGGGGCGGGGGCGAGGTTCTGGAAGTGACTCCGAGTGGGGTGGGAAGGAGATCTGCGCGGCGGGGACTCCTCGGAATTGCGCTTTGCCTTGCTGGGGTATAGTAGAGTGGGGGTGGGGGACTTATTGATAGCCATATATATGTACACTCACATACACACACACGAATTACACCCGGGTGTGTGAAAGAGAAGAACGCAGAGGGGTGTATGCTGCGGGGGTGGGGTGGGGGTTGGAACGGCGCCTCCTCTGCCATTTCCAGGGAGAACATGCCGAATAGTTAAGATCAGTATTTAGATTAAACCGCCTCGTCAAGTTTTAAAGAAACTTTGTCTGAATAAGTTTGTCAAAAGCCAGGCCAGTGGGGTCTTATAAGCCAGTGGTTCATGGAGGAAGGCCGGTGTGCAATGACTATCAGGCTTTGTGAGTCGGGAAACCAGTGGATCCCTGCAATTAGGACTCCAGAGAACCAGCCTTTTACCCGAAAAAATGTGGGTCTGTAAGTCAGCCGCATCCATCACCAGCGTTAACAAGCTCTCCGCAGCAGACCAGCCCAGTGCCCCCAACCCCCAGCCTCGGGTTGTGTGTGTGTAGCGAGCTAACTCATTGCCTAGCTTGGCTGATGAAGAGTCTCTTGGTCTTCGGGTGAGCACAGATCAACTTCTCGCCCCTTCTTTTAAAATATATTCATTCGGTGTCTTATTTAATCCAGATGCACAAAAAGCCATTTACTGCTTCATTGTTAGTTTACATTTTTTTTTTTTTGAAAAGGCGACTGGTGTAACCTGTGGAATTTGAAATGCAAATAAAAGCCTGTGGGAGTTGAGGCAGAACAAATCGGCACTTATAAAGTGAAAAAGATTTAATGTCTTTGAAATCATTGCAGGAGAGAAAAACTGGAGGGGAGTGTGATTTTTTTTCTTCTTCCCAGGGAGTGGATTGTGACGTCAGGTCTTTTTGGAAAAGATGTTATTTTTAAGGTCTTGGAGCTTGGGTATGTGAAGTGCTTTACAGGAAAAACAGATTACAAGATTAACATCTGTTAACATGATCGTTTATCTCCAGCCAAAAATAGGTCAGTTCTTTCTTAAGGAAACATGCTTGCTTCAGCATGCTTAAATAATAAAATAACGACTCTAAAAATTAGGGACGAACATTTGTTATAATCTGACGTGTGAAAACATTTTTTAATTATTAAATCACTCAAAGGTCAAAGTCTCTTTTGGGGTGTTGAGAACACTACCCTGAGTCTACCCGCCCCGATTGCCCCCCCCCCCCCCCCCCCCTTTACTCCAGGCTCCTCGCTCAGGCTATTTCCCTTTTCGTCCATTGTGGACGTACGGGATATATTTAAATGGTATCCTGTGACTCCGGCCTCGTTAGGGGTTCAAACTCCGCATAGATGGCTAACTTTCAGAGCTCTGCTGTTGTTTTACCATTAAATAGAACGACAGGGAGGGGAGGGAGAGAGAAAAAAGAAACTGCCTTGAAAAGTCTCCCTGCCCCCTGGGTGTGAGTGACGGCTCTGTCGACCAATCCGCAGCAGCTTTCTCTATCCCGGAGGTAATTTGGGGTGTGTGTGAGCGCGCGCACGCGCGTGCACGCGTCCATGTGTCGGCACAGAGTCCGGCCAGCCGCGCGCATCCGCAGGCTCCCGCATTTGCACAGATGTGTGCTGTAGACGTGGACACGCTTTTATCCAAGTCTGTCCAGCTAGATGCGCACGCAGCAGTCCAAGTGGAGACCCTGCCCCCTCCCAACGTCTTCCTGCGAAGACTGGGCAGTAGAGGCACTTTCGGATTCAAGTCGAAACCTGCCACACGGGAAGGAAAGAGGGACGATTGATAACACTTCTCAACCATTGGGCACTCTGGAGCAGCTCCATCCGCCTGGTTCCAGGCGCCAGTGGGGTCGTGTTGCAGCCACTTGCCGATAGCAGACGTGCAGAGGTCGTGGGTTGTTGAAAAGGATGTTAACTCCATATAAAACTGAAGGGCACCGTTCGTCTTCCAACTTCCAATTTCACTCTGTCACGGGGAGTGATACTTAGCCCATGGTAAATTCTAGAATGCGAACTGCTCACGGTTAATGAAAAGTTCTGGTGCTCACCGGTCTTAGCAGGGCTGCGCCCTGGCCGCGTTGGCTCTGCACAGCGGGTACATTCCCGGGCCGACTGTGTCACCGGCCACACCAAGCCGCCTACTGTCTGAATCTGCTGCACTCTTCTTAGGAACATCCACAGTGATGGGTGATTAGTGCGGCACTCTCTCTTCGGGACCTGGATCGCCTAGTTTTGTGTTTAAATGCTGGGCCTTCGGGGCGCTCGGTGGTCTGCCTTGCGATTCACTGGGGGTGGTGGTGGTGATGATGCAATGTTGGGTTAAATACACGCGTGCGCCTCCCCTTTCTAGAGACCCCTGGGGAGGGGGCACAGACCTTGGAAGGCACAGTGTCCACACCCTGTGGGCAGCGTCTGATTGCGCCGAGGTCACCTCGAGGGTGCCCGGGCTCCTGAGATTTCCAACTCGGTTACTAGGTGTTGTCAGTCCGCGTATCCCCTCCTACGCGGGCCGTTTCCACCCAACCGGATCGCCACCCCTTTCGGGCCCTCTCTCTCCAATCTCAGCGAGCCCGGGTGGCTTGAGGAATGGGTATGTCGTTGCATTAAATCATTCCTATTTCTGTGTGTCCGGGGCGGCTCGGCGCCTCTGGGGGGGGGGGCGTGGGGCCTTGGGTGGCTGATGGGGGGGGTGTAGGGGAGGGCGCGCGGGGGCGGGGCACCACCTGCCCGCCCTAGAGGGCGTGGCGTGCGGCTGGGGGGCGGGACACCCACCTGCCCGTCCCGGGGGCGGGGGCGGCGGCCGCTTGTTGCTGGGCTGCGAGCTGCGGGGGGCGGGCCGTGGGCGGGGCGCCGAAGGGGGAGGCCCCCGGGTCCACCGCCCCCTCTCCTCGGGTGCCCGCCCCCCCCACTCCCCTCCCCTCCCCGCCCGCCCGCCCGCCCCCGTCATGTGGAGCGGACGTCACACGCCTGCAGCACTGTAACCCAAGAAGTGAAAGAGACGGGGACCCGCAGCCCAACTTCGCACCGTAACAAAGACGGGGGTCCGTGCGGGGCCGTGGGGGCGCGGGGCCGTGGGGGAGGGGCGTGGGCACGGGGAGGGCGGGGGAGGGAGGGGCGGCGAACTCGTGGGACAGCGGCGTGGGTGTGCGTGGGCGGGGAGGGAGGGGGACAGAGGGAGGGAGGGGTGGCCCAGCCGGGTGTGTGTGTGTCTGGGGGGGACGGGGGAGGAACAGGGGTCGGGGGGCTTGACGGAGGCGCGGCGGGGCTTCGCGGCCCAGCACCGCGGGCAGGCCAGGTAATTGGTTTCTATTTTAAACTTCACTTTGTTCGGTTGGAGGTGGGTCGGGAGGGGAGGCGTCCCCCCCCCCCCGCTTTCTGGGGGGCGGTTATGTAAGTCTCCACACCTGAGTTGGGCTCTGCTCCCCCCCCCCCCAGGGGCGGATTTGGGGCGGGAGTGGCCGGTGGGTCCGGGGGTGCCGGCGGCTGCTGGGGTGGGGGGAGGGCGGGGGCCTCTGGTGGTCTACGCGTGGGACCTCATGGTTGTCTGCGTGGAGAGGAGGCCCCGAGTGGACGATGGCTTGTTCCTGGAAGCCCAGATGTGCCCTTGGGCTGGGGCGGGCCTTCCAGGGTGTCCATTGAGTAACAAAGGACCGAGTGCTTGGACCTCTGGTCCACTCGCGGTGCCCACTTAACCAGCAAGTCTCGGAAGAACTTTAGACGGCGTCTTAATTAAAGGTACAGCAGAAAGTCACGTCCCGGTGAACCTACCATTAAGTCTTGAATGTTGATTAAATATAATTTAAAAATTGATGTGCGCTGACCGGCGTAGAAGCCAAGAGAATAGCTCCCCAGCAGGATCTTTCCAGATTACGTTTTAAACCTCCCTATTAATATGACTGAAGTATTTCGGTTTAGGAATGTGTTACTTTAAGGAACTAGGCATGCTTGCCATTTGATAGGATATTTGCTACTGCCCTGTACACAAGAGCCCATTTTTATCACTCCTTCATTTTCTCTTGCACTCTTTAATTGTTTCGTCAAAACAGCTGTGTTATTTTTATTTACACCGACCGGCTAGAATTAAAGCTACCACACTACTTACTATTGTGCATGACTTCGAAGGGCCCCCTCCCCCTCTAGCAAAATCGGAGATAGAGTTGAGCTGCCGTGGAGTCAGGGGTGTGAGTTGGGTCACTGGAGGGGACAGCTTTACTTCCACCAGAGTGACCCCATAGCTATCTCGAATGGGTTCT